CTGGATGGATTTGCATCCCTCCTTCTTCCCACATTTCCTTGTTCCAACCATGTTCGCCATAGCCGATGCACCGTGCTCGCATCCATGTTGTATCAGCTGCGATTTGACGTAAGGATCACCCCGCCCTTCTCAGTCCGATCACCATACCCCTCGTAAAATCGTCTATCTGCTGGAAATGCTTTCGTTGATGGCGGTCTGGCATTCTCTCCTATTATACGTATCCTCCGGGACAAAAACCAACTTTCTTCAATAATTCTTCTGGCAGAAATAACGACACGAATATTGCCCATTCTGCAATTTCCTTCCCTTATATCTTACTTTACGTGCGTCGGAGAGCTGCGCATTTCACACCATTCGCATAACTCAGTGACGTGCGTCTACTCTAAAATTTGCATAAATTTCTGACCACTCCTTCTTGGTGTTGCATTTTCAATGTCGAGCAGTGTATACATGCAGCGAGGTAGAACTCATTATTTCATAAATAAAAACCCAATCAGATTTCCTTCTAATGACATAAACAGTTACGGAACATGGTTGTACATCAGTTATTTACAAAATGAATTATTGTAAATTCTTAAATAATAGCAGAAACTTACGTGCTCACCAAAAAGTCAGTAACATCAAGACACGCATGTGCAGACCTCCTATGACATATGAAATTAAAGAGTAGACTGCTCACTAATAGCGTTCATTGAATGTTCTTTTTTAATATACCAAGACCGCATATAACTAATTCTACCCCTGTATTGCAAATTTTAACGGGAATAATATCTTTGCATATCAAAGCACAAGTTGAAGCTACTAGAGTCGAAATCCTAAAACTTAATGTCCCGATAAATGCCTTCGGTAACAGCTACAGCCCAGACAACAACGAGCCCAGGAAATTTTAAGAGTTCCATATCATGTCACCACCAAAAATCCCAGTCGCCTTTTAAAAGTGGGAGTGTATAAGGTGTTTCTCCCGGCTTCGTGTCATGCCTTCGTGGTATGGTGGTCTGCACGCTGGGCACGTATTCCAGAGTTCCGCGGATCCATTCCCGGCGAAGGCGGTTGCTCATTTTTCATCTTTCCTGCTTCCAAATTACCTAATGTCTCTACACATTAACAAACTGCACATTTAATCAGACTGCAATCAGCATTACATGCTATTAGTAACACACTACACTGTTGTTCAATAGAAAAACAAATTCAGCAATGTGTTGTTGATTGTATCTTCTTAATAGAAGATACAATCAACAACACATTATTATCTCAGGGATCAAAGCACACAAAGGAAATAATAGAAACGAACTAGCTGATGAACCTACAAAAGCAGCTGCACAAGACACAGCAACATTAAACATAATTGTACTTATCTGGGCCAAGAAGTCATCCCACTTCCAATCTGCAACAAACAGCAGTGATAGCATGGCATCAGGAATGGGATATCATACTAAAGGTAAGGATGGCTTTCAATATATTTCCAAATTGTGAAACCGATAGACTTATAACTACTCCACAAATAAACTATATTCTATCAGACCGTGGTCTATTTGCTTCCTACTTTTACGCCATAAGCATTTAATTGACAGGTAGTATATGCATCTGAGGGGGATAAGATGGTCCAGAAGAGATTACAGAAAGATCTTCACCATAAAATCAGCATTTCTTTGTCACTTGGCTAAAAGCACATGCAAGGAGAAAAGGCAACGAGGATGCTGACATTCTAGCCATAGAAGCAAATAGGAGTCAAAACGCGCAAAACACCTTTTCAGTGCCATGGTCTGACTCGCACTTAAAAAGACTAAAGACCAACGAATCTAAAGCTGATGGTGGGGCAACGACCAACAAGGGAGAAGGACCTGTCAACTTGTTCAGACATTAGGTTAATGGGAAAAGCCGGAGAGGTGAAAACTTAGCAATACCGGCCCAGCGTGTAAAACCACTACACCAAGAAGGCACACTAGGAAGGCGGGAGAAATACCTTATAAACTGTCTCCAAACGTTCCACTGCACCCTTTTCAATAAAAAGAGCTAAAACGTGTTTCTTATCGCAGCATGATCCTGTTCCCACTTACTTTTATGCAAGGAACATAGCTACATCAAATCAGTGTGTATAAGGAGAAAGAAGCAGTACTTATTTAAATGATCCCTAACAGGAACACTACTTATTTAAATGATCCCTAACAGCTGAACATCATCCAAAACTTTCGAACTCAGAAAGAGAAATAAATCTTTTTATGAGCTATGCTATCAAGAAAAAACATCTAAGAAAGGAAATCATAAATATAATGAACTTCCTGTCCACAAGAGACACGGAGCTATGAACACAGCACAAAACACAAATCTTGGCCGGGACACCTTGTGTATCCTGCGAAAGGGAGTTATCTGGATAATTAGTGCGGCTGGGGAATACCCACATTACCGGTTAAACAATGGGTGTCCACACTTCACCATATCCATATCCACATATCTATTGTCTATTCAAATGCCCAATAACAACAGATTTCTATACTCGTCAATCACCACAAGTAACTCCAAAGTATTCAACCTTCGTTGTGAAAAGGAAAGAACACAGAAGAAACACTATCGAGGTGATGAATATGTTATCAAACATTGGCACGTTTGCATCTGATAAAAATAACCCTCCATTATGTGAATAGTTTTATTTTTGTTTTAGGTCATTTGAGCGTATAAAACGCTCATTAAGTTGTAAGATTCTCACTAGTGTATTGCTCAGTTACTGTAGAAAGTAACGAATCTTAAGAACTAATTAACGAATAATCGCTTAAGTTCGTGTAACAAGAAACAAACAAGAAGGAAGGGTAACTAACCCTTTATTATTCCGATATGATTTAACTAAACTCCGTCTTGGAGTGTACAATAAAAGCCGACACTTGGGCTTGAACTTAAGAGACTAAAAATTAAACTAAAACTAACATTAACTACAGAGATATAGCCGAAGCTATCAAGATTCTAATCGAGTTGGCCCCTTAACTCTATTTGACTACAAAGCTTATCAAGGGCCTGTGTACGGCCGAGCGTAATAACAGCTTAGAGAGAGAGAGAGTAGCCAAAAGGCAGACGCGCACAAATCAGAAACTCTGATTCTCTCCAACTCAGCAAGTAGACTTCGCGGTTTAAATACCGCTCCTCCTCATTAAGTATTCAGAATGATTCCAAAACTACGTTTTGGCCGGAAGTAGTAAGTTGAAGTTAAAAATTTGACAGGAAAGAAACTTAAAATTTAACTGTTAATAAATTATCATAATCCATACAAAATCATTAGCTTTAATTTTGAAAGATCTCTGATAAATTCCATTCCAGGCAAGCATCCATCATAGTAAGTATATTGTCTCAATTACAACAGCCTCACGTAAACTACGAATTCTTTCTGACAATTCTGCTCAAGCTTAATGCTGAAGAAATATTAAATCAAAAAATACTACAATTTACAGAAAGTTGCAGTGGAAGGGCAGTACTTGTTGAACGCACTTTAAAGTTCTGGTTCGTCGTCTGCTCTCAACTATGAACTGTGATGTGCCACTGTGATATGCAACTCTAAACAGTCCCAACATTTCGGCCTCAAAGGTTAGCGTTTTGCCGGATATCACTGAGCTGAAGAACTTTATCTCCCATCGTCTGAAATATACAATAAGTCGCATGTCAATAAAATCGAGAGATAAGAATATCAAACCACGAGACTTAGTCGTATTTCTTAATTCTTACATTCCTGAAAAAAATTTCGTTCGATCAGATGTTTACACTTTTGGGATACCTGCCACATGTAACTGACTGGAGCTATGTGCATAAGATCTTAATCATTCGCATGTCGTAGTTACATTCACAATTCTCTTAATTTTCCAAAGCTTTACCGATTTTTTTTCTTGATGTTACAATTCTAAATTTGACCAGTAATAAAATCTCAGCTGATAAATTAAAATTTCTTTTTGATAGAAGGAGTCTATTCATCTAAGCCAGAGAACACTGCTCTAGCTTGAAAAGATGCTTTTCAATGAGTTTTTACTTTGCACTGATAGTGTAATACTAACGTGCGTGCGTAGCAGGTGGAAGTGCAGTAACCATAACAGAATGGAGAGATTTATTTGTTTGCTTGTTTATTTGAACATGGCGGAGCACGCCCGGTCTTTGCCAGATTCGAATATAGACATATACATATTTGGCATTGATGTATCATTCATATTTCAATTGAATTTATTTTTACGAAGTGAAAACTTTTGCTTATATAAGGACTTTATATTACATATTTAAAAATAAAATTTGTTCTAAAAGTAAAATTTTGTTTTGGGATTTTCGTGTAATGTATTTAAAGCTGTTCAGGCGTATAAAGTTAGTAGAATGAGATTCACCAATCTGAGATGTTTCAAATTATATTTCAATGAGTGCTTCTTAGCATACTCCCTCATACACACATATGCAAGAAAAAAAGTTTTTAAGAGTTAGACAGCTTTCGTTGGCAACGAATCATCAGTTATTAGTGGCAAATTTGTTATTCTGCACCCTCCCAAACTTATTGCTACTGTAATAGTTCTTTCGATATGGATTTCACCTTTTTCAATCTCGTCATAACCCTAGTTCTTCGATTTTATTACCCATATTTATCATTCATAAGCTATTGCTTTCTTTTAGAAAATGAATAATATTTTTTCCGAAAATACTAGTTTTCGGTTCGAAAAGCAAGAAACAGTTTATCATTAACAAATCTGAAGAGAAGCATCAGTGTATGATCAACTAATAAATCTATTGGATTATGATCCAAATATTTCGATTTATTAGACATATTTCAGATTCCTGCGCTGATGTTTGCTTTTTGATCTTAAGTTAATATTTTATTCTCTGTCACGTTTTATTTGCATTAATTACAATACTAAGTGTTCAATCCGTACATCATAATGTATTTTGAAACACATTGAAAAAATTTTGTAACTCCTCTCTCTCCTCTCAAAAGAAAGACTAGTATTTCGGCAGAAAATATTACGACTAATTTAAAAAAAGATCAGTTTATATATAGAAAATTTTTTATTTGTACATTTCATTTATTACATTGTTTACTGAAGAAGTTATTGTTCTTCGAAGCTTTTAGATGGCATTTCTTCTGACCCCCAAAGGTGGCCATTATGGCACAGCTGTGTTGTGGGCTGCTGATATCCGACTCATGAGATTATCTTTTCTAGATAAGAAGATATTTTCACATTATTATTTCTCTTGGAATTTCAATCACAAGAAAAACTCAGATAATGGAGTTCCGTAATACCATTATGGCAATTTCTGGGCACGATTTCTTTTGTCTGCATCATTGCTTTTTACAAAGATCAATTACTGCTGTGGTACACACACACTGTTACTGTTTATAATATTTTGTAATAACCGAAATATATACTTATATTTAAATTTTCTTTTACATGTGCTGCAAATTTTTTAGTATGATAATCTGTGAATTTTATCGTGAAGGATGGAAAGATAACTGATTCAAACGTTTACCAATTATTTATGGTCTATAAAATTTCAGAAGTCCTGTTTAAAAGCTTTAGTGCGATAAAAATGTAGCTACAAGTTTTTCAGCTAAGTATTTTCTTGCGTCGCTCCATTATATGGAATTAGGAGGAAGTAATTATAACTAGTGTATTATTACCGTAATAAAATTAGTATCTATATCTGCTCCTTCTCAAGCTGAATAGGACTAAAGCATGTTTATTCACATTCATTTTGATGACGTTTCAACATTTCAAACAGCAGAATTTCGCTTATTTCTCTAGATACCACTGGAGAGTCTTGGCTTGAGGTGTAAATACCTCTCATCCAGAAGAAATTAAATAAATCTATATACAATTAGTGTTTGTCCTTACTATGCGCAACACAAAACTTGAGTTGAACAATAGAAGTAACGAGAATAGGAATTATGTCACTATTACAATTCAAACTTATTTCTTGTCGTAGCTAGTATCTTGCCATTTAGTCAGATCCATATGCGGGAAATGGTGGCTGTTGCATTCCACAAATGGGTTGCTGAAAATATAAAGAAATACTGATTAATTGACTCATTTTAAATAATAGATTAATTTCATGCAAACAAAGTTTAAATTTCAGGAAGCATGTGCTTCAGGTTCATAACTTTAGAAAGATATCAAACTATTATTGGTTGATTCAAAAGTCCTTGTGCAAACGTTGAAAGACAGATCCGGTATATAAACAACTACAGTAGTACCTCCTGTTCTTTGAATAAAGGATAGTTCTATTTAAGGGACAATTCTGTTGGTCCCGGTTCCTTTGAATAGGATAAGGGACACCAAAAAACATTTTCAAAAGTGAGATAGAGGTAAAGAAATATATAAAAAGAGAAATACTCTTTATTAGTTATCTTCTACGGTTTCAAAGGCAAGTTTATGCTTAGTGAAAGGTATTTTTGTGACAAGGGAGCAGTGAAATGAAAAGTTTATTCCTGTCTTTTGAAAACTGCTTTTCAGTAGAAAAAAGGGAACAATATATGTTAAAAAGCAAGCTGTGATGTAATCAAAAGGATATATCAACTTCCCAGAATTCAACAGCTAGTTATTCTTGCTATTGTTACTATTAGCAGGAAGAAAAAAGTTTTAGCAAGTTGGGATATGAGGCTCTCGCAAGACAGGAACCAACGGGAAAGAGAAGATTGTGAGATAACTGGACTAACTGCCAACGTACAGGGATTTCACAGTGTGAATGGAGTGAAAATTTCTATCATTCTTAGTTCCTGTTGGAACTAGGGAGGAAAAGAAGTGTGGTTTTTGTACTTGCATGTTATTTTTACGTACGTTTTCTAGAATGGCTTTAAAAAAGAAAAGATTAACCTTAAAACAAAACGTTGATGCAATTTATGTAACAGAAATTGAAAAGTTTAGTTTCAGAGATTTAGGGCAGACATTTGGAATAATTAAAAACTAGGTAAACCATGTGTTAAAGGATACAAAAGTAATAAACTATTATGGATTACTAATTCAAATGAATATTCCAGAATTTAGGAAAACTGAAGCATGTGTATAAATATAGCATACATTGGTGTTCAGTTTCGCATTCACAGCATTCTTATAAGTGTAGTATTATTGCAAGAAAAAGCAAAAAAAGTTTCGTAAGGTCTGGGACTACAGAACTTCAAAGCATCAAATGGTTGGTTAGACAAATTTGAGCAAAGACATAACATTACTTTAAGACTATTTGTAGTAAAGAAAGATCAATAGATAAGCAACATGTAACAGACTGGATAAAAAACCTAAATAAAATTGTGAAGGATATGAGGCTAAAAACATCTACAGTGCAGATGAAACTTGATTATTTTATCGCGTTTTGCCTAATAAAATATGATTCAAAGGAGAAGACTGCTCTGGTAAAAGCTCCAAGAAAAATCTAACTGTGCTATTTTGTTGTAACATGGAAGGAGAGTTTGAGCAACAACTTATAATTTGAAAGGCCAAAAAAGCAAGATGTTTCAAATACATCAATCTAGAAGTTTTATTACTCCATTGGTATCGCAATAAAAAGTCATGGATGAAGCAAAGAATAATATCAGAATGTCTGATTGCTCTTGATGAAACAGTGTCTAGCAAATATAGGAAGATTCTGGTATTTCTTGTCAATTCCCAAGCCACCACCAAATATAAAGCTGAAACCACTGAAATTAGTTCTTTTCTCATTTAATACAACATCACTATTACAGCCTTTGGACCAAGGTATAATTAGAAGCTTCAAGGTTCATTTCAGAAAACTGTATTTAAGGCATGCTCTTTGTCATACTGCTTGTGGAAACAGAGATCAGCTTTCAAAATGCGTGAATGAACTGAATGCCATTCAATGGATAACAAAGGCTGTTAACCCATTTGCATCATTCGATAAAGTGGAATATTGTTCCATATTACCAATTTTTCTATTGTATAAATATTAAAAATATTTCAAAATTATAATACAACGAAACACAAAATGGTGTACCCAAAGAATTTATAATATTACTTAGTTCAATGAAGTTACACATTGAACATAATTTGAGAAGTTAACAATTTGACACAGTATGATAATACTTGAAATGGCCAATACATATAGCCATACGGCAGTTAATACACTGATGAAATAAATCCTGCCATTTCTTGTGATAAACGAACTACATAATGGTTACTAGCTTTCCATGATAAAGTTGTTTCAATTGGTATTAGAAAATTTTGGTTAGTAAATCTTGATCGTAATGATGGATATGGTGTAATGGTTTTTGTTGATGCTTTTATTTTTGGTTTATTTTATTAAATTGCTTCTGCTATTTTTCACTTGCAGACGTGAAATGCTCTATCTTTATGATTAGTTTTGAAAATAACGTAACTGTTCAAAAAGGTCATGCCAAGACAATAAAAAATATTTATTTTCGTAAAATCATTGCATAACAGGGAATATGTTAAGAATTTGATCTCCTCAACCAGCTTCACCCATGCTTTTATTGTAATTTAGCACAACCGCTGGCTTTACGAAGTTCTTTTTTTCTTCCTATTTTTATGACGGAAATATTTCTTCTTTGAAGTGTAATAGCTTTACCTTGTTCTAATTTTATATTTTCTAAAGCTTTACGTATTCTTGCCTATTGACTCTCGTCGTGTCACGAACATTTGTTTTCAATTTATATAATTTATTATATAAATCAGGGTTATTGTACCAATTGCCAATATGTAAACAACGACCCTTTCCTAACAATTTGCTTTCTACCATCATACCTAGAACAATTTTCCTAGTCTCTAACTTTCCTTACACTTATCCTATATATATCCTAGAATTATGTATATATTTTGTTCGGGAGTCGGATAGTTTGTAGAATTTTATTCCATTTCTGGTTCCCTTTGAATTATTATATTGGTTATAAGAAAATATGCTTCTACATTTCATCAGCGGCTCATCTAAATAAACATCTTTACCAGTGGTATATATATATTTCTTTGAATACTTTTTAGATCATGTCAGTCACTCATTGTATTTTACGTAATGGATCCTTTTGCAATCATTCATTATTTGCAAAACGCAGGTTTCTTGAAATGAACACAAACCTATTTTGGGACATTATTGTTCTAATGTACGGTGCTTCAATACGCTTGTCCGTGCTCCAGTAGCTTTGTAATATAGGTTTTTGGACCAGAGATATCAATATAACCTGTGCAAAAATAACTTTCAATTCCTTAACAGAAATTTCTTTGAAACTCTGATTGCTTTTACCAAATCGATTAATTTCCATTGCAATATCGAATTTCCTCCGTTACAAATAATCCGAAAACGTTCTCTCCAGTAAAATTTTAAATATCCTCATTTACCCCACTAACAGATACACATATATGCACTTTCAGTTGATCATTTTTTTCTTCCCGTTCAAAATTATATACAGTTTCATTACTATCACTATAGTCATTGTCAGATGATATCGCAATAATGCGGTTATGTTTTGTAGGTCTAATTACTTGTTCACTAATATTCGAATCAAAACCTTCCATTTTTATCAGTTTTTTGTTATAGCTTTTACCCGGAAAAATTGCCTTCCACTAACATTGTGCATGCATTCTGTCTCCCGCTAGTATTTTGTTTTTATGCTCAAAAATTTAGCGCGCATATCTGCGCTTTAGTGATAGCGGCCAGGAAAATTCCGCGCATGATGCAAATGGGTTAAATTCGTATCACAAAGTTACCAGCACTATCTAAAGCAGGCTTTGAAATTATACTTTCAAGTGCGCCCGATTGAAATACTACTGAAGAAAATGAATTGTTTGAGCTTAGTAGTTCTCAAATGCAAGAATATTTAGAAACTGATGAGATGTCGGGCACTGAAGACACCAATGACCATATAAAATCTTTTATTTCAACTTTAGTTGAAGATGTGAGCTTTAACAGAAACATCTTACAAAGCAGTGAGGAAGATGAAGATCCAGACGAAAATTGTGACGTAAAAAACTATACAGTTGCCTTAAAATACACCTGCTAGTTAAAAAAATCATGATAGTTGTTGGTGAAGTGAAGGATTTAAGATCATCTGTGACTTTAGTTACAAATGGGGAAAAAGTACTTGCATTGCAGACTTTCGAACAATAATGTGTTTCAACATTTTCAATCCAGATTGCTATGCAGACTTTCAATTGTCTAACGGATTATTTTCAATAAATATCTGTAAGTACAAAACTTTGTTGTTCATTTCAAGCATTTTTGCAACAATAAGCTTCTTTGATATAGGATTTTCACTTTTCATTAACTTCGTATTCGATTAAATACCTGTGACTAGGTTACTTATTTATATATCATTTATTTAAATCTTGATATATCTTCAATTTCTACTTAAATTACACTTTTTTTAGTACGTATCCTCTAAAACAGAGACACCTCTTTTTAAGGGACAACATGTGTATGCAATCGCTGTCCCTTTTTTGGTAGGTACTACTTTATATTCTTATGCACAAAAAATAATTTTGCATAGAAAATCACTTTAGGTTTAGCGTGAATAAATAGCCATCTGCACTGTATTTAGCGCGAGTGAGATTCGTCTCTTATACTTGTTTTGGAGAAGAAAGAATGAACTACGGTATGATACTATGAGAAAAGTTCTTCCGGCAAGCACGTATGTAGTAATGATACATTTACGTGTTTTCAGAGATTATGTCAAATTGTATTACTGGAAGAAAATATTGGATTACTCAAAATAGAAGGTACTGTGGTTGGGAACGAAAGAAGTATTTAGGGAACGCACAGTAGAATTTAGGTACTATAAAGAATATAATTTTTTCCCCTCTGTTAAAATCAACACAATAGGTAATATGTGTGATGAACAAAACATTAACGCACCTTGCGGGCTGCAGTGTCGATGTATCAATGTAAAGCGTCTTTGTATTAAGCCCGAGTCAGATAAACACATAAAATACGCATTCTTTTACTAAAATCGTACGCATTTTTTTTTTTTCCTGTACACTGTTTGGCTAGCTATAACAGTTCCTGTTGAAACCGAGAGTACTTTGGTGGAGCTACCG